TATATAGACTTTTTTAACATGAATCAAGCTTGAACATCTACATTTTTTAATATGTCCTAAATATGTATTTATATAATAAATAATGAATGAACATGATGTATTCGATATAGGGTGAATTCCAAGAAAAAATGTTGATGAGGTTAGACAGTAGAGGATTAATTTCTTGGGATGGGTTTAATGGAACAGCAACCAACCATTGGAATTGTGTACTGGAATTGTACATTTGGGGGTCCCAACCATCCGGGGTATTTAATCTTAAGGGACTAAAAAAGATATCGGAAATCCACTAAATCAAAAAAACATGTCCCGGAAAAACACGAGTTTTACATATTTCTTTGTGTGGGACCCATAAAACACAACTAGGTACTAGGGTATCTGGGGATCATACAAAGATCCTTCTGCTGGGGAAGCATGTCAAGTAGTCAGGCGATATTGTCACTGGCTCCAGATATGATAACCTGATAGTCAATGTAGATGCAGATGCTTGACAGTCCAGAATGGTTTCACATTCTTTGGCAGCCTTGGATTCTGATTTCAGTTGAAGATGGACATAGTTGCCCGCATTTTCTTCATCAAAAACCAGAACTTTGACCGTGCTAGCAGTGCTCTTGCCTTGAGTGGTTAACTGAAGATATGATTCCTGCTTTCAATTGCGGATAGACGAGAGTTTGCACCAAAATTAGAGTCCCCTAAAAGACAGAAGAGTGAATGGCATCTAGCAAGAGTGAATTCAATTTTCACTTTTGCTCTTATTTCGACGTTTTGGCTCCCTCTCATTTCTGTCGGTTTCAGGCCCATTTCTGTAGATTATAAAACATATAAAACTACATGATGCTACATGAGACTATTGACTGTGACTGAACCTAGGGTACACGCCAAAACCCCTTTGGTCACTCATCATTTTCCCCACTCACCCGTTGTAAGACTGTCCCCACATATCTGGCTGTGGCGAGTTTTTTTGTACCCCCAGTGCAGGTTCCAGGGGAAAGCACAAGGATACATCATGGGCGCAAGCAAGCACAAAAATGATCGTTAGAAGCCGGGACACCTTCCTGCAAATGATACGCCACGAACACCAAGCATCAGAATGGTGAGTGCAGGGACCAAAATGGCTAGATGGTCTCACTTTTGTGCTGGTCACCATCCCAGTTTCATTTATCAGCAGCGGCACTACTGATACTACTGCTTGTAAAGAACCTAAGTCTCTTACTTGAGTCTCATCAGGAGAGTGAAGCAAACATCCTGAAACTGAGTAACTGACCAACCACTTGCCGCGGCACCGATGACGTCGCCATGCCAGCAGATTCTCGAAGTGCTAAATCGAAACTTGCCGGACCTGGATGATACACTGAGAGACATCCAGCATCTGCTGGGACTCCATTTACGCCACATCCTCTCCAAAGCATGTCTTCGCGAGGCCGTTGGGCTGTTCGGACGGAAGCAGTTTCCCTTTCACTGCTGTGCATCCCGCTCTGTGGTTTAAACAAGTTTAAACCATTTTAAACCATTTTAAAAGCCAATGTTGGGTGCATCCTATTGGTCCTGCTGAGTTACAGACATGGGCCTCCTGCTGAACCCTGAGGAGGCCTTCGGCTATGCACAGGCCGACTCCGAAGAGCTCCTCCGGGGTGAGAGCACCGAGGGCTGGGAACTGTTGGCGCGCTGGCGGGTGTGGTTGGTGCACTGGGGACGCTTCCAAGATGAATTGGCAGCAGGCTCGGCAGCACATGCAGAAAATCCCCTGGTTGCTGTGGGAAAATTTCTGAGGATGATCCGAACTGACTATTGAGCTGGTTTCGCCGGGGTTGAAACATGTTGAAACCACGAAACAGATTTGCTTGGCACAAGAATATATATATATATATACCCTAAGCTTCCAAGGCCTATTTTTAATAGTCGTTCCATGAAAGCCTATTTCCAAAATAGTCGCAAGTCGTGGATATCCCTCTTCCCCAGGGAAGTTCCAAAGAATCAAATTGATCATTCATGGGTGTTCATCAGTTTCTCTCCCAAAGTTCTTCTTTTACCTCTTGCGATGTCCAAGTCTGCTGCATGCAGAGCGGTTTAACCTCAGATTGAGAGTGGTGAGGATGGTTTGTTTGACACAGTTATCTGGGAAACATTAAAAACATCCTGAATTTAATTGGTGTGTATTGAACAAGCTTATATTATAACATAGCACAAATAAAATATTATGATCCAATCATCACCAGTGCAAAACAAGATGCGACTTGATCTTCAACTTTGTTGCCCAAATCCTTAGATGGACAACTTTGCCAGTTGTACTTGGTGAAAAAAAACATGCACCAACAAAAAATAACAAAAGACTTTGCAATTTGTGATGTCCGCTTCACCCCAGAAAGCTTCAACAAAACTTTGCGCGTGGAAAGCAAAACCCACACCCCATGCCAGCCCAACTCAATGAGCTTAGAATCCGCAAGCGTCCACAGCGGACAATCCACCGCGTCCTGTGCAAAGCATGCGCTTGTAGGTAGACACCTTGGCAAAAGCTTATCAGGGATGAAACTGAATGATGGGTTTACAAGACTTTGCCAACAAAAAAAATAGGGGACACCACACAACAAAATAAGAAAAAAAACTAATGAAATGTCAACCCGGGCTTCGTTTGCACCACGCCATACTATCCTCATCTACAAAACAATGCCAGAAACGTGGATTGCTTCCTTAGATATCGACAGGCATCCTGTGAATAAACAACCAAATCCCTTGGAATGGCTCAAAACCTGTTAACAAAGCACATGAAAGTATTTCAAAGCATTCTCAATGCAATCAAATGTCGTCGGTGCTTTACCTTGGCAAGAATGTGCCATAGAGCCTGGTTGTTTTGCAACAATCCAAACATTTTTGGGCAACAAAGCAAAACCAGGGGATTTCCAGATAGGCCAAGTGCCAAAAACAAAATTATGGAATTGAAACCAAGGGGCATGGATCTTCGGCCTGATCCCCCAGGTTTGTTCATTTCGCCTGGCATCGCTGGGGGGTATCGACTTGTGGCTTCAGGATGAAACATAGTTATATACATGTGCCCGAAACAAAACACTGTGTGTGTTCTTGAATTAGCCGGAAAACCACCTATAAAACATACAGCATCCCAATCTTTGGCATGAATAAAAACGTGATTCCAACTTTGGGGAGAATTGGGGACCTAAAGCCGTAATAATTATATTAATTCACTGACATGCCACTGAATCTCACAAGCCTCACTGAGATCATTGACAGCTTCAAATACAGTCGAAGGAAGCTTCGGCCATGGGAGAAAATATCATCAGATTGCTTTTGTGTCCTAAGTGAGCAAATGGCATGGTCCTAACCTAGACTAGGCAAAAGAACAAAACAACACAACCCCCACACCAAATGACATTCAGACATAGACTTCATTGTCATGATAATATATGCTTTCATCTACAGTTTCATTGTTAACCGTGTTCGGAAGCTTGGGGTATAATAATATTTCATGATAAGTGACATGACAATAATATATATATGATAGTGAATCAAATTTGCAAATGCTTTAAATTGATGATTGTCGCAATTACACTACATGCATTATACATTGTAAACCCCTGATATATCATATCAAATTGATCAAGGCAGCCATCAAAAACCGACCGGCCGTTTCGATGCCCAGCATGAACTGCGAAAGATGGAGCCTCGGTTCAATAGGGGCTCAAGCGATGAGGGCAGCAGGAAGTTGGAGAATTATCATGATCCAAGTAATGAGTTTTTTGGTCTCCATTCAAACTTACACTCCATATATTGGATTCAATAAGTTTTTCCAAATCAACACCATCATTCCCAGATCTTTAAATTGTCGATACAAACCAAAAAACAATATGTCCATTGAAGTCCATTGTGGACATATGAGATGGTTATATTGGACAAATGCGAGTATGAATGGCTCGCTCTCACCAGAAATTAGTTTTTTTTTTTTTTAAATATAACCATATATATAGATGGCCATGGTTGTTTAATGTGTGTGCCCCACAATTCCCCAAACAACTCTTGCCGGATTCCTTTGAGAAGCATGGCCAGGGCCACAATGGATATAGTATCATCAGCTGATTTGTAGGGCTCTGTCTCAGCTGCTTGGGCAACAACTTCAGTAAGCCACTGCATCACGACTCGGCCATTGTAGGCTTTGCACAGGAGCAAAACCTCTCCCGTCTTCATGTACAACTCAGTTGTCTGTGGGGATGGCAAATTTTCCAAACCATTTCTAGTCAAGAACATGCAACATTTTCTTTTTGTTTCAACTCTCGAAATTAAAAAAAAAAATAAGAAAACCTTAACCAAAAACAAATAACAATGTGCTAAATTTCTACTTGGCACAAGCTTTTCTTGGAAGCATGGCTGACTGCAGGAAATTTTTTTCAGTGAACACCACGCTTTAAATTGCAAGTATGCTCTGCGCAAGTGTACTCGGATGGGTTCTTGTTGCTGGCCCCAGAAGCCAAGTCTGATCAGTAAATGCCTTCCCAGGGTATCTGGCAGAGTAATCACTTGGAATTTTCTATGTGAAAGGAAAACCCGTTTTCAACACATGCAACTGTGATGATAAAAACAATTTGTGGGAACAACAAAATGTCAGAACATAGCTAAGTTACATTGTGGCACCGTTGGCAACATACAGAAGGCCAAGATGCACAATGTGCATCAAGCACCAGCGAATTGTGGATGGACAAAACTGCTGCAAGGCAATCAAAGGACCTGAGCTTCAGGTACGGACAGAGCTTGGGATACAAGGCCATCTGGTCAAATTTAAAGATAACTGGCAATGCAAAAGGAAACAAAACACACACAAGAAAACATGTAGGACATTTTTTTTGGTTATATACATCTGAAATTGAAGGTTTAAGTGTTTCTTTTGGTGTTCTAATTGACTGAACCTATCGCAAATATCACATGTTGTTTTTAAATTAACATGTAAAAAATGTTTTTTTTGTGATATGTAATGTCCAAGACTGAAGCAAATCTCAGTTTCAAATGTTCTGTGGTGGAATTCGATTGGCCAAAAAAGCACTCAAGTCAAAGTCCTGATGGTTGTTACTCTCCAGGTTCCAGTAGCACTCTTCCCACTTGTCAGACAGCCCTCGTGCATCACAAAAAGGGCACATTTTGTCACCGTTCCATTGACACTTGTGGAATCGAAAGATCTTCTTATGCCAAGCCCAATCTCCGCGAATTTCAGTGACTTGAAACTGAAAACCTTTTTTTGTCAGTGGCAATCCTTGCATTTGAGCATCCTTGCCAGATAGATTTTGCCCTGAGGGCCCAGCTGTGGGGAAAACACCGTTGTATGCATGGTTGCAACTCCAGACAATGCGGCGAAGTGCTGCTGTCAGAGTATTCGCTGTACACCTCTCTTCTGGTATTGTGAAAACGAGGAATCTAGAGAATCTCACTGATTTTGGGCGCCAAAGCACCAAATTGCAATAGACAGAAATGACATTTTCACTGCCAAAGGTTGTTCGAACACGGGCTGAATCACCGTATAACCCTATGGGAATGAATTTCAAGTAGTTTTCCTCGCTGATGTGCTGCGCCCATTCTTCCCCAAACTGTTTCGATTTTTGCCAGTATTCATGGATGATCTCCTCAGGAATTTGAAGCTCTGCGTCATCAAATAAGAAGTGCAATATCTTGTGTACATCAATGATGGGCCAGGGTTCATTTTGCACTACAGTAGCTCCATCCTCATTCACAAACTTCACGGGCACTGTCACATGGTCAACTTCCTCAATAGCAAACAGGGGGCCCACGTAAAATTAATTACTGTAGTTTCTACCCATACAACATCTACCCTGAGGTATGTTTAAAAACAAAAAAATGAATGCCCAGGATGACATACATAACAAAATGTGAAAAACACCTAAATCGACAACAAAACCCCTGGGACATTTGGCACTATATATATATATATCTGAAAGCACGCACAAACAAGATTGTTGTTTTCTTGTGTTCTGTTCTGTTCAATTCAAAGTGTGACATATTTCTACCAATCCAAAAAAGAGTTGAAAACCACAATTGCAAGCTTAGTTTCTGGTCCTTTGGAAAGATGTCGCCACCAATTCCGCGAAGCATTTCGATTTCCCTTCAACTTGTAGGAGCCAAGTTTCCGTGTCATAGGATGCAACCGACCATGATTCGCATCCTGGGGCCAGAGAGGAACCCATCAATGGGCCGCAGCTGCCATATGATTTACATATAATATATATATATAGATATATTATTCTGTTAATAATGTTTTATCATGGTTGTGATGCACATGCACATTTTAAAAAATATAATATAATGGATTTGATTCAGTTTCAATAAATATTACGTTGATTTGATGGATATGAGGGTGGAGACTTTGAAATTCCCCAAAAAAAACTCCACTTAGTAGATTAGCAAATAGATCCACCATACTTGGGGAACCATCTTCACTTCTGTAGTAAGTAAGATCCTGGCCAGTATGCAATGTTCATGCCACTGATTTTCTTGTCCAAGTGTGGCACATGATTCAAATGACCCACCCAATCAGGGTTTACAATAGTTGAAACACCCAAACATTATGTTTTGTTACCTACATCACCACCACCAAAAAATGATATAGCCACCTCACCGGGTCTTACCTGGGGTTGGCTAGAGATGTACCTAGACGTCTCCTGGCTGGCTGCGGTCTGGCCAAGGATCTATCGCATGGGCATTGATGTTCTGCATGGCTTTCCCCACAGTGCTGCCCTCGGCTTTGGCACATGGGGGAAATGACAAAATCAAAGGAACAACTCTACTGTGGGGGAACACTATCAACATCAACCAGGTCATTTAAATGCAGGCGGTTAATTTCTTTGGTGATTCCAAAGTTACTGCCAGGAAAATCGGAGCTAAAATAGGTGAATCCAGACCTTTGAATTTTGTCATGATGCCTAGATAGGAGGACTAATTGTGTACAAAACCTTTTTGGATATAGTAATATATATTATATTATATTATATTATATTATATTATATTATATATATTATATTATATTATATTATATATATTATATTATATTTTATTATTATATTATATTATATATTATATTATATTATATATTATATTATATTATACTATATTATATTTATTATATTTATTATATATTATATCTATTATATTATTATATTATATATTATTGTATTTTATTTTATATTATATTATATTATATATATATTATTAATTAATATATTATTATTATGTGTTATCCAAATGATAATGACCTATTAGTTATGTTATAGTAGTAGGTAGTAGTATATACAACTGCTCTATTATGATTATTTCACTATGCAAACCAAGTGTCACCCCCGGCCACATCATGCACGGCATTTTGAAGTACTTGCCCATGTTCAACATCAGAAGACCCTGCGCGGGGGTGTTTATGTTTTTGGTATCAGGGCCCATCATGGGGTTGCCTAAGAAAAAAACATGCAATTGATGAAAGGTGCTTGGGTAACCCTGCACACAATAACATCAGAAGGCCAAATGTTTGCACCACACCAGTGCACATGACACTAGCCATCGTATGCTTCCATTGTGCATGATGTGTACTTTCTCTATCGCAGGCTCATGCTTGATATAGTGTATGCATCAAAAATCCTGCACTCTAGGAGGAAAGAACGCTTTTTTTTTTCATGGATCAAGCCTTTCAAGCTCACGGCACAAATCCCAAGCCTCCTGTTGTTAAACAGACAGGAAGCCTGCTCCAAATCATCCGGCCATGTTGTCACCACTCGGCTATATTTCCAACTATGGGTGGTGCTTTTACCCTTTGAACTCCAAACCAAAAGTTTATTGACAGGGATGCAGCAGCGACTGGCCATTGCTTGCCCCCTTATGATTGCAGGAAGCATCACAAAACCAAGAACCAAACATTTGAACAAAGTTTGCAATAGAACTAGTTCATTGTTTCATGTATAGAATGCATTTTTGGAGGAGTATATGTATGCGCAGGTGATCCAACTTTCACTTTGACACCGCAATGCCACCATTGCAAGCATGGACCGCTAACACTGCCTTGCGAGCTCCTGTATAGCTACATCGTACAGTAGCCCAAACACCTACCGGTTGCATCACTTCATACTGGTCCGGGCCACAAATTGTGTCCAGTCATCGATGGCCACCTTCGATTTGTCGACCAACTTCAAAAGGTCAGTGTCCTTGGACACCATATTGGCGACAAAAAGGCTTAGCAAACAAAGGTGGTAAAAACCACAAGTGCCACAAATACAAAAGCTCTGTGCCATTGTTTCATGCCTAGAATTTTCGAACCCAACATATGTGGATTAGAGAGATTACAGAATAAGATGCTTATGTTCCAACTACCTTGACAGGGTTTGCAGTCACACATTTGTGGTGGCGAGAGTAGACATATTTATATGCATGCACACAGGGAACAAAATGGATTATGACCTACTGTCCTTTTCATGAACCCTAGAGTAGGCAAGCACAGCATTTATGCATGCATGTGTAATGTATTTTCTTGTTTCAGGTGAAATTTAACATGTATAATACAAACACTCTACATACTTTTTCCTTAATAATCATCAGTTACATATGATGTCATATATATATAATATATAATAATATATAATATAATATATAATTATATTATATATATATAATTATATGCAACCATGGAACGTCCGCCGAATCCACCTTCTGCTGGATCTTGGTACGCACTGCAACCATGGCATTCTTGTGCGAAGCGATCTGGCCACCGAGGGCATGCCTGATGACTGGAGTCCTTGGCATGTCCACTGCGGGAACCCAGACTGGGCTGGCTGATCTGGGACCCTGAATAGTCAAAGAATAGGCTTGCTAATATTGATTACCACCCAAATGCACAGTGCCCGCATTAATTCAAATTAGGGGGTGCGAGATCCCTGAACAAATTGAGTCAGGCAATGATGAACTACAATTCCCATCATGATAGGCTCTTAAATAAGATTAAAAGGGTTTCAATTCTGGACAGACCCTGATGATGAATAGTTTCCAATAAATGCTTGTTATGGTTTGGTTCAACAAACACTGTCCACTCTAATGAGGCATTCACAAAAATCAATTTAAGTCAAAGCCATTCTCCCAATGGAGGTTTTATTTCATAACCCCCTGGGGGATGTAGTTTCAATGGACAGATAAACGGATACCTGACCCTGAAAATAAACACAGTAATACATGTACTATACATGTATGATATCCATGCATTGCCGAGACAACACTTGAAAAGAACTAAACTGTTGTGAATCAAAAAGGGAACTGGTGTTTCTTCACTAGCTAGTGTTTGTTCACAATCTTTGCTGCTGATTGTGGGGAACATGTGCATAGCATGTCTAACGTCGATCAAGTGAAATAGATTTATGAAAGATAGAACGGGATGGACTGCTATGATATGGTAATTGTTATCATCAGGGCATATAAAACAAATTCATTTTTTTGAAATGCTTTGGGATAAACTTCAACATCATGTGAAAGATGGCCCCTTTCTCATCCCCAAATTCGAATGAAGACCACCCTACTACCCCTGCGTTTGGCAAACTAACTGTATTCACAGTGTTTACTATGTTATATATATATATGAATTTAAAAAGTGGTTGCACCATCTTAAAGAAACCGTTTAATTATTTGCAGAGCAAATGGCCCCTGGGGGTGATCATATGTGTATCATTTTTTCGGTGGTTTCTAGACAAACTAATATATTATATATATATAATATATATTAATTAATATAATATCCAATATGTTGACTTCTTTTTGAGACAGTGATCAGTTACCATGAACGAAAAGCACATATTCTAATGTCATTTGCGATTCCAACTCCAAACAGTGTTTGAAATGTTATTGTGTGAAAACCAATTGCCTTTCGCAGTGCTTGATAAAAGCATTGGGGTGCACTTAGAACAAGTGCTATCAAGTTCTTACAGGTAACATAAGTTTGGCCAATATTTTCCCAGCACTAAATCTACTGATTTGTTCAAGCAAGAACCATAAGTATTGCAATGGGTTCATCCACACTGTCCAAATAATAATCAAACAGCGATCGACATAAATGGTTTGAACCAGAGCAGAGAAAACAAATAGATGTCTTGAATTCAAGCCAAATTCAACCGAAAGAAATGGTGTTCTTCTTTGCACGACTGTAGAGAGTGTCCTATTCCCAAGTCATTAAAATATATATATATACTATACTACACAGGGTTTACATATCATTGCCACAAAATATGCTATATAATTGGCTCCTGTATCACAGTTTAAAACCCTAAATCTTCATGAAGGAGAATGGTTGCATATGTTTTATTTCATGTATATCCTTAATATGGTTGATACACAATGTACCATTATATATATATATTACTAGATGATAATTGGTACAGTATTTCTTGGCTGCATCATTGTGATTTGTGAATTTTATTTCGTATATGAATGAGAAGGCATCAATTAACAGTTTTGTGTACATCATATATCAGTATATGTACTAACAACCATGTTAATATTCATTTCGTTCCTTTACATGTTTTTGTCAAAATTGCAATGTATTATTTCGAATTATATTTTTAACACATACATGTATTGTAATAGATATATCTAGTATATATACACATAGAAGTAGCTGGTAACATTTTATAATGTTGCAAATATCAGTATGTTAGATAATTTATGTGAGTCAATGTCAATACAATGAATCTTATGTTAGTTTATATATATATAAGATATCTACTATGAAATTATGTATGTTATATATAAATGATATTAGAACATACTATGTCATATTGTATGATACTGTTTAAAAATAATATTTTATTTGGTTTATGTTTTTACATAAATCATTTTACACTTTATTGAACACTATTTGGCTATTATTAAAATATTATATGTTGAACACATATTCAAGATGCAATAAAACAATATAATAGCATAAAGTACAGAGGAATATAATAGAATATAATATTTATTAGTTGGTATAATATATTTTCATATTGTTTCTTTATATTAGACATATTAGATAATATATATTATATGTATTCAAAATATATAGTATATAATATCTATTTATTTTATATTGTATATATTATATATATATAATAATATACAATAATATATATATAATAT